CTCGCTGAAGTTTACCGACAGTGTTATATCTGACTTCACTTTTAATCTGTGATTTTCCATGCCCGAGCTGCTTCTACCGTGCATCATTTTCCACGATTATAAGTTCATGTCTTTATTCGCTTGCATATTCTTAATCATCGTTTTTTTTATTACAGGCTTCCGCCTGTACGTTCCATGTACCGTAATTATTCTTCATTAACAATTCAATTCTCGTTGAGACTAGCGCTTATTATGTTACGAGCTGATATGATCTCACACTTATTATGCTTTTAATGTTTGTCAATTTTTGTTAATCACTATTTTTATATATATAAAATAGATCCATGATTTGTTAGAAATAGGCAAATAAAGAACAGCATTTCAAGTTAATATATTATCATACCACGCGCTCGTACACCTACATATATGCCTGCCGGATGCGGAAAAAAGAAAAAAGAAACATGAGAATATAGCGGAAACATATGTATGTCGATCATTCCTCTTAGTACACATGAGAATTGCAAACGCTTCCAACAATTTTTGCAGATAAAGTAATAATAGAACAATTTTGCAGATTCTAGCTAATTTAAAATTAGCCAAATTTTAAGTATATCCAATAAATCTTCAACCTTGATTTTTTTAGAAACGAAGTCTGAAATAAAAAAATTTTATTTCTCTCTTTCCAACTTATTTTTTCACTTTGTATCATATATGTATTAGTGAAAAACATATTTAACATAACTAATAACGATGAATAATAGTGAATAATTTAAACTAATATAACTTCGTAAAAAAAGATTCATTTGATTTCATTTCAAAGCATAAAATTTCTATTTTGATAATTCTAAGGTTCTTTTTTAAAATAATTTTACATCATGTAACGGATGGAAGAATGGAGAATACTTCTTTCTCAGAAACTGCAACGTTAAAAATTTTTTTCATAATAAAATTCATCATGATTTTGAAGACTGAAACTTTTTCTTTGTAATAATTCCTATTACCAACGTTGAACATAAGGTCCGATGACGAGAATAGTTATTGTAGTATTTCTCGAATTTTTGTTTGTTTAAACTTAATATTTAACGTTTGATAAAATGGTGAAAAAAATTGTACGGTAAATTTTAAAAGAGTTAATCTCCTTTCTAAAAATAATGACGAATCTAGTAATGAAAAAAACTTTTTCATGTTTTTACAAACGTTTGAAGTTTGACAATGGAGAAATACTTGATAGAAATGAATGTTGATTTCTTAGCTCGATATGAAAGATAATTTATCGTTGATACATTTGCGATCCCTTACCCATAGAAGTTACAACTTACAAGAAGGGAATCAATCTTGTTTGTCTCTTCTAAACAGTAGTGAATATGGTTGAAGCTTAGTTGTGGCATTCGCTGCTCAAAAGGACAAAAGAAATGTGATTTTGATTGAGAAATGGAAATAAAATTGATAACACTTTAGTGAATCTCTGACGACATTATTCTTTCATTATGTATTAAGCGTTATTAAAATATTCATCAATTTGTCAACGATTTGTTCGTAGGTATTTCTGTATTTTTTAAGCATATACATGATGTCTCCGAAATCATGGTACAAGTGTAATGATTCTATACGCAGAAACAAATCGACAAAAAAGAATAACATTTTTTTCATTTAAGGCTTTGTGCAACAGGTGTCGTTCGTACAATAGAAATCGTAAGAACAATTAAAGAAGCTAAAGATGAAAATCATACTCAAACGCGACCATAAAGCAATTCATGTTCAGAATTTCGGAACAGCTGGTCGTCGCGTATATGTACGTTTTCTAAGAATAATTTCTAACGAAAAATTAAAAGATCCAGCAGTCTACGAATCGAAAACTCACACTTTTATTAATTGTTAGGAAAATAACAACAGTCAACGAAAAATCTCAATTCAAAAGCAGCACCGATTCCGTACTTCGAGTTGTACAAATTGCACTTCTCTAGTCTTTGAAAATAAAAAGTCTCGTCGCTGCAAGAACTCGTCTTTCATTCACCTACGTAAGTCCGGGTAAATTCCTCAAGTGAACTAAGCCAAAAACTGGCGCAATAATGAGATTCGCAGCGCGAATTCCAAGAGTTCACGAAGAATTGCCGTATCGTGACATATAACAGCTTCGTTTCCGAGAACATTTGAAAATCCATGAGATACACGTGTACTAATTATAAATTTCGAGGCATCCGACTTTCCTTTTTTGCTCTTGTTGATGCTTGGGCAATGTTGCAAGTTGCTTTCTATTATTATTGTTATCTTATTTCCATAATGTCGATCTATTACTCTGTGTTCAATTTGAAATGATTTCGTAAATAAGGACAAGTTTATTACTTTTTAAGGATTGCAGGTTCGAATACATTGTATAATTAAAAATATAAACCAGCTGAATCACACAGCTTTTGGTGGCTCATCGTCTTTCTGCATCGAATTTAACATGTGTACTATGAATGCTTCGTCTGCATTCCTCTCTCACAAAAAATTTAGTCTAATCTAAATTTATTTTTAGTTAAGTGAGAATTTGATTTGGATTAATTTGAGATTAAAGGGTCAGGACAGTTTGACGGGCCTGAAAATTACATATACTTTGGAGCGCTAGTAAAAAAAAAGTACATATTTGATTGACTTTTTTGATTTCAGCTTCTGTGGTTTATTTTAACACATTATGAACTATAAAAAGCGACATTAAAAAAGAAAAAAAGAGGGCTCTTATTTAATTTTTTATCGGCATCCTTTTACATAACTCTTCTTTACATTGCCTATCGCGTGATTCCAGCCAAACAGGATTAGCTGCAACAAAAAGGCAAAAAAAAGTTCAAAAGTAAACAACATTCTCTAGGGGGATTGACGATCCAACATTTTCATTTCTGTGAAAATTGTGAAAATAGCAGCTATTTGTTTTTGATGTATCGAATTTATGCAAAAAATTTCTACGTTTTTTGTTTATATTTTTCGAAATTGTTAAAAATTAAAAAATGTTCGATCGTCGATCCCTAGTAAATGTTATACTAAAGATACGTACCATGTTTCACAGTAATCGGTTGGTTAGATACCGAGATATCTTGCACATCGTTTCTAAAAACCTAGTTTCAAAAAAAAAGCGTTTAAAGTTTTTCATATGTATCCTTTACTTACTTTTTTTATTTGTATATCGCGACTCACAGTTCTTACAATTTACAACTAAATTGAATCCAAGTCCCCTAATATTCGATTCACCAAAAGTAATATTTGAATCACACGATTTGCACTTTATAATACTGCTTAAAGTAAGTACTGTAAACAGTGATACAAATTCAATTACTCTGTATCCACGGATTTATTATTATACCCCAAAATAAGTCGTTTTAAAGGCTAGGCCCTTTTGTATCTTATTTCTAAGACTTCAAACTACCATTTAAAACAAAACAAAAACATCGATTTTTTGAAAATTTCAAACTGTCCTGACCCTTTAAGAGAGGAGGTCATTTTATTAACGCAGAAAGTGTTCAAAATGTTGATACGCGTTGCTGCGTACACAGTTCTGCTCGTTTAATTAAATCATTACATACATTTTATTTAAAATTATATGTATTACGTAAATGTATGTACCTGACTTCTTTTTCCGAAAAACGAAGCGTTAAATGAAATCACATCAGACTTGTCTTTGCATGTAAAATAACCACATGGAGGTGTAATTTTGAAAATACCCAGTACACATATATCACTTGGCAGTGCAACAGCGTCGAAAGAGACTACATTGGTATATACGTTTTTAAAGTAGGACTACTTTTAAATCACGCGCAAGTATCCACCAGGTGGAGAATTATTTTCTCTTAAAGCCGATGAAACATTTCTTCACAGCGGAAGGAAAATTACTTTATAGGGGAACGATTCCGTCTACATCCACGCCATGAATAATGAAACATGAATCTTAATCACGCTTTCATTGTAGGTACTCGGGGGAAATACAAATTTTCTTGGGGGTAACTTATCTCCGTGCGAGTGGTGCATGAATCGAGGGAGCATAGTTGGGGAGTAGGTAGGAAACTGCGGTTCTTGGCGCGTCGATGCTTGCAACATTAAAACCGAGGAATTACAGCGTCGAGGGGAGTGGGGGTGGGTGGACGGGTTTCTACCCTCTTGGACGTTTCCTCTTTCATACAGATGTTTGCCAGTCTCTTGGCGTTGCTCGCGCGACGAACGGCCCGCCGCACATCGTGTCGCGTCAAACGAACAAGCTTTCTTATCCTTCTCTTCGAGATACGTTTCCAGGTTTCCGCTTTTTGCTATGGTGAGTGACCTGAGCCCGAGGCTTGCATACGGCAGCATGCTGCACCGATCATTTATTAACGAGCATACCTCGCGAGAAAGACGGCGTAATGGGAGGAGAACGCATGCATCGGGTTTACGGTGCTGAAATGCACCGTGTCGACACCGCGACGCTCGTTCAGCCGGTTGAATTTAAAATAGTGTGCTCGTCGCTTTACACAGTGTTCCGATAAATAATTGATGCTTACCGGTGAAACTCGTGGCGGAGTTTACGGCGCGACTCGGGTCCTGTTACGAGTGAAATGTTTAGGCCGCGAACAAACGTTTGTTACAGACTTCGCTCGAAAAGTCTTTTTCGGCCACGCCAACTTTACCCGCGCTTGCACAAGCTGATGCCTTTTTTGTAATATTTTTGGTTCACTGGTATCGAGCGCTGTTGGTGGCGCGCGCGATATTTTGGTAAGCGGATACCGCGAGGTGTCGCACATTTCCTCAAAACGCGCAATGTCTCGTGCCGCGTGCGTGCAATCTGCAGCACGGCTGTTTATCGATGTACCCGCTTTACAATGGCATGCAAGCTTATGTACGATGCGCATACTTCCTTGGTGTTCATCGGCCCGTGTATAATGCCCGCATACAAGCCAGCTTGCAGCTTGTGCATATACATACATACGACCGGTCGTCCACTTGTACGCGAGCTGCCTCCCTTGTATACATCATCTAGAACGCCTATATTTGCGTGTATACATATGTGGTGTACTCACTATTCCGGGACCAGTGAATCTACAGGGTAGCATAGCGTTACCGCCGGTCTGTGCCAGGACATCCTTGACAGATACAGCTACCGAAGAAAGGATGTTATTCCTTTCATCTTCGTTGGCCGACTTCTCACTCCCGATAGCACCATCTAGAAATATCGAAAATCATTCTATACCACTGTATCTCGATTATTTTGTTACGAATCTAGGTTACCTGGGAAACAGGCAAATGAAATTAACGTGACGATGTCGTATACGCGTTAAAATACACGTGTGTCCGCATAGCTACAAGTTATGAAACTACTTTCTCGAGCCGATTTTACGTTTTTAATAAACGCTGAAAGAACGTGTCTGTACATACAGGTATTGTGTACGCTTGTTTGCGTATTTATCTGATAATAAAAGAAAAAAAGACGCGAAAATGCAAAGAAATGTCCTTGTTTAGCTTCGAGATCAATGACGTTTAACAAACTTTAACGTTTAAAAAAATATCTTGTATTTTCTAACAACATTGGGAGAATTTGGCGTAGGTCGAGCGAAAACTTTTTTGTATTCCTCTGTTTTAAATGTTTCAAAGTCATTAAGCTTTTATCTCGTCTTTGTGTTTCCACGTTTCTGTAGTTCCGTACAAAGTACAGTGTCTCCGATTCACACTGACGTATTTTTTCGCTAGTTACAAGAGTTATAAGAATGACGATGTTGTTCCAGAGTATAGCCAAGTTTCGTTGGTCACACGAGCTTCTTTGGATAGTATTTTCAATGGGCCGGAGGTCTCGCTATCGAATAACGTACGCGTAACGACTTGGAGCCAAGCCGAAAACTCAATTGCATTACTTGAAAATATCGCGCAACGTTCACGAGGATCGCGGAAGTCATTGTACAGAAGCCTAATTGAACGAGCCAAAAAGTTGTGCCAAGCCAGAGATCAACGAAAATCTTCTCTCTCTCTCTCTCTCTCTCTCTCTACCGTTTATCCTTTATCTTTTATCGTTCAATTATTTCCGTTACCGCGCAGTTCGAGCAAGTGTACAGCAGCTTGCGAGTACACGGCGTTCCTTCGAAGACTCGGTTCTCGGAGTTCGATTGAACACCGACGTGAGACTGAAATCGATGTGACACCGTATCAAAAGTTATCGTTTCGGCTTTGCCGGTTAAACGCAATTCGAAACGTCGATTCGAAGCGTTAGTTGTAACTGGGTCGATGGTAATTACCGAAGTTATTCACTCAGCTATGCAGACGGGAATGAGGCGCTGTGGTGCCCACAGAATTTAAGATTCACTCTACGTGCAGTAAGGGGTGGTGTAAGGGTGGATCTTGGTCGTTTCATCCACTGGCCATCTGCCTACGATCTCAGTGCCATCCTGGTTGACGAGCTTCTTAAATTGCATTACCTATTAGAGCGAGTGTCTTAAAATTGTACGCTCCTCTCGGTTCTGGCCCTCGTGCCTGCTAATTTGCAGCGGCAAAGAGAGAGAGAGAGAGAGAGAGAGAGAGAGAGAGAGAGAGAGAGAGAAAGAGAGTAACTCGGGGTTAGCTCGGCTTATCTGCTCAGCTGCAACGTTCGCAAAGGGGCTGCAAACCACTCTCCTCCTCTGTCTCTTGATTAAAGCGACGATTTTTTGACTCCGGAAAGATGGAATTACGATATACTTTCTTCTTGTGCGAGAGAAGGAATTTCAAATGTTTCTACGCCTCGTGAATCGCGTCCAAATCAAACGTAGAATACGAACTGTGAAATTTGATTATATCGTCGGTCGATTAGAAGGAGGAGGAAAGTTCTATACCGAACGAAATTCGAGTTACGTTCATTTTCGCAAGAGAAACTATTTGCCATGAAGCGGAGCGTCTCGAATCAAGGAAACTACCGCTTAAATCATTCTGTACAGCGTGGCATGGTCGTTCGAGCGAGGTAATTTCTTTACGTTATCACGCATAATAGGGCTCGTTTTATAGCTTCTGTAAATAGAACAAACGCTAAAGATAAACAATATGGATTCGCAAGAGTTGTATTAGGCCGGACTGTTTTGAAATTTCATTGAATTTTATAATTCTTTTCGTGATCAGATGCCACTAGAATATAGCGTAACATATAGCGAATTAATTTATAAATTAATATTATATATAAATAAAAATATATATTAATATTGTATATAAATAAAATATTATATTGTAACACTATTATTTAAATATGATATAATTTAAACATAAATGTATATTGTATAATGTTTTTCAAGATTATTAATATATAAATACATGTCTTAAGTTTAATAAGTTATTGTTAGATTAACATTTTTACATTAATAAACTTTTATTTACATGCATATAATTTTTGCCTCAATCAAATTAATGTTTAATATTTGTTTATATTATATACTAAATTTTATATTAATATACCTATTTCGTTACATAAAAATATTTTTTATTAATTTATATGTATATTAACATCTAATTTATTGTATTATATAAATTATAAATATATAAACTAGTAGAATTTTTTTTTGGGAAGGTAAGGCGTTTTATGACTATTAACAAGGTCAGTCCTATTAAGTAATTTTGGCAATTGCTTTTATGGGTCTAACCGTGCTGTGTCCCGGATATGTGTCCCTCATATTACATTTAATAATCCTGACTGTAGGACCAAGGGCAGAAGAATGCATCTCCTACATTTTTTAACGAAATGTTAATATTTTATTTGACAAGAAAGAAATTAATGTAACGATCTTGCGTTATATATATTCCGGAATCGTATTGTTTATTCCTTTGTTTTTGCTATTCTCACACTAAGCGTATATGTTGATAATTTCAAGTGATAAAAATTACTTGTTAAAAATTATTTTCTAGAATCGATATCTTGTTTCTCAGATAAGTAAATAATTCTATTATGTTTTTAAATTTTCTTTCTATATATCTATTATGTAAAATATTTCGACCTAGTACAGACGATTGTGAAAAATTAGCTGAAAAATTAAAAAATAGTTAAGAAAAGATAATAATGTAACAAATCAGAAATTAGAATCTAATGATCAAAAAAATCACTTATTTAGAAAGAATCGTTTCAACAAGATTAAATGTAATGCATCGAATATCAATATATTCTTGCATCTAAATATGCTTTGTTAAACCGTTGATCATTTAGATCAAAAAATTTACTAGTTTAACAATTGATCGGTGACATTTTTTAGATTCCTACAAATTACACTGTTTTTAATTTCGTGGATTATCAAAATATCGACAAAAATTCAAAGAATCCTAATTTTATCACTTAATCATATTGCTCAAAGTTTAATAATATGGCAAAGAAATCATACAGCGAGATATGGTTGTAAGGAGGAAACCTCAATCTTTAAGATTTAGTCATGAAACAAATTTGTTTAATGTTTTCAACGGCGTTTAAATTTTGACAATTTTCGAGAACAAAAGTATTTTTGCCATTTAATACATGGTGTAAACACATTAAAAAAAAAAAGAAAAGAACTAATTAGGGTTGTCAAAGCGCAGACTTTACACTTTAAAATAAGGCCAACTGGATCGTTATACGACTTTTATTTATAAAATTATAGCAGTGTAAAATAAAGATAATTTTTCATCAAATATACGAATATACTTTGTGTATAATTCTCTGTGTATAATTCTGTAAAATTTTCATTGTTTAATTTCGTTTTGAATTAAATTTTTGGACTGAAATTTATCAGAGCGTAATCCTTTCTGTCGATATAGTACTTAAAGGATTTCGATTGCCGATAAAAGTCTACGTGAACTTTGCAAACGACGGTTACGAGAAGGGTCAACGACGTGTCTAGTCAGTGATCAAATACGGACGTGCGCCGATAGGATCGCGTGTAAACATATTCTGTTGCAAACAACTATTTTTCTTCGACCGTATCACGATCGAACATTTGTTGGTCGATCTCTTTGACTCGCTTCAAATATCGCGTTTTATTTCATTTGTTTGATGATTATCGATTTCCACGGTCGTCGAAACAAGGATAGCTTTATACTTCGATTCAGATAAGAAAGGAACGAACGTTTGTAGCTGATAGAACGACTCGCAGATAGAAATTTTCAAGCAACGTTTCCATTTCGAGAGTAATCATTTTGATACGAGTGTTAGTCGAAAGTAGAACTAAAAATATGGGACTTGGGAAAATAATGTAAATTAAGCGGTTCTTTTCACATACGGGAGAGATCTCGCCTTGATACTAGAAAATAGCCAATAACGATGCAAACAGCTTCTCCTGAACCTCGATGTTGGAAATAAGAATTTATTTCTTTCCGATAAGAGATAACAAGAGTTTACTTTTCATGGTGTTGATATTTTTCAAGAAATTTTTTCAATTTTTTTTTCAACAATCTGTAGTTTTCAATTCCGACTGACGTGAACGTTGATCTTCCAAAAGACCTTTCGCAGAGAGGCAAACTTTATTATCGGAAGATTGTTTATTAAAACTTTTTTTTAATACGCACCTATAGAGCGTTAAAAGAGTAAACGTCGTAGCTTTGATAAGTGATTCTACACATTCAAACACACAGTTTATGAGAGTCAAAGTCAAATATTTTACGTTTACATTGTAGCGTGATAATTATGAAAAGTGAATTTGTTACGTCATGAGCATTGCCACGAAAATAATTTTAAAGTTGTATTCACTTTTACACTACTTTTACGTCATTTACAAATCAATTTCCATTTCAATTTGCCATTGATAGTGTAAAGGATTTGGAGGCGTTCACGGTTTGTTAATTGAGCGTTTCGAAAAAACTGGATTTGTCAGTTGATCAAAAGTGATCAGTGATCCAGAGATGAAACACGAACAGGAACCGGAAACGTAACTGAACTGGAACGGAGACAAGTGCAGAGGTATCTACTATATATGAAGTATAACTTCCGATGCACGCTAGTTTCAATATGTCTTCAGGTCTTTGAAGAGACTAACTGCAATGTTAGCGAAACGTTGGAATGTAATTCCTATCGGATACAGTTTACATAAAAAAAAAAAAAGAGATAAAATGTGTGATCAACGCTGAAATTAAAACTTAAATTTTAAAATTGAAATCGTTCTGTAATTGTGAAATTTAGTAAAAAAGTAAAATTGAAAGATTCTTAGGAATATGAGCGTTTCTCGAAAAAATGCACTTTTTCTTTTTATTGTACTTTAAAATGGATTTAATTTTATATGTCAATAAATTTTGCAATAATTAGATAAAAACAAAAAAGTTAAACGAAAGAGGATTATTTTTTTTCTGGCAATAGATAACAAAACTTGCATTAATTGTAATTGCTGAAAATCTTTTGGAATACATAGATTAAAAAAATGCAGTGAACCTGCGAAAAATTATTGAAAATAATTAGAGCTCGTTAAACTGTACGTTAAAATATAAATTTATTAAAAAATTTATTTATGAATTTAAATTGAAATTGTAGTATTTAGTTAATGTGTATTTCTGTAAAAATAGAACTTAAAAAATTTCTTATACCCAATTTTTGCTAACAATATGAACGTTATATATAACATATATCTATTTTTAATATTTTTTATTAAGAGAAAACCTTTTTTATAAAGAGAAATAAATGGGAAAAGAGCGTCCAGAAACGCTTTTTTATTATTGTCATTTTCTATTCAGATCAGAATTAAGATATATTTTGCTACCACTTCATTCTTCACAATAAAGTTTACGCAACATTGTAAAATTTAATAAGCATCCTAATATTACGGTTTTATCAAGGAAATAGAATTTTCTTTCGAATATCTCAAAACATAATTTTAAATCTCTGTTCCCTGGGATTCTTCAATTATTCTTTAGCCCTCTAAACTCGCTGTGACATTTTTACGTGATCTTGTTTCATAGTTCCAACTGTAGCCTTATACTTAATAATAATAATGAATAACATTTAATAAAAATACTGATATAAGAAAAATATTTTTTCTGTTTTAATATATGTACCATTTATTATTAAAGGAATATGATTGTTCCCTGGCAAACAAAAAAATTGGTCACTACTTTAGGAAGAAGATTTGCAAGAGGAAACGATAGTTCCTTCTTTATTTTCCAACTTATTTTTCTCTTGTAAGAAAATTTCCCTTTAATAGATGGAAAGGAATACGATTCAAGCACTTTCTTTGTTGTATGGTTTGCAAAGTAGATGAGGAAAGTGATAGAGAATAGTGCGAATCGCAATGAAAGGAATACAATTTAGTCTTGCGAACTCACAAACTAAATTTGTTCACGATTACCGTACCGGTTACGCTTTCGTTAAAAGAACCGACACGACAGCTACTTTCCTTTACTTCAGTTTCTACTGTTTCTTTTTGCGAACCGTACTGTCACTCGCGACCGTTTTACGATGTAGTTTTCTCTTCCAATAATGAGAATCGAAACTGAGAAAAAAAACTTCACCTTGTTTGCGTGACAGTATAAGGTGGTTTTCGCGTGTTTCCGAAAGCTTCGTTACTTTATTATTTATTGACGGCTCATCGACTCCATCCTTCATCTTATTTTACGGCGAGCGTCTCGAAAGCAAAATCAAGTTTCACACGATACTCGTAAGATTATTTCGTGATTCTATCGTTACGATAAAAAATAAGCTACGCTTTTTAAGCGGATTAACTTATTTCGAATTTCATGCCTGTTTTCGGCCTGTTAACGCTTAACCTCGTTACTAGTGGCAGCTTCGAAACCTGCGAGAAGTCTAGTTAAGGTTTTTTCTTTTACAGACATTAACGGTGATAGTTATGACGTGATAAAAGAAAAATCCAGTGAACCTTTCTCCATGAAAGACACTCCTCGACTCTTCTACGCCGACCTGTACGTTCAACCGAGACTAATTAGTAAAATCTACGTTCGCTTTTAATTTTGACTTTCCGGTGAAAAGCTTTGGAACAGTCAGCGTTTGCACGTGGGCGCCGAGAAATGTAGGAACGTGAAAAAAAATTCGAAATTTTCGCACAGAGGCCACATGACAAGAAAATGTGAAGGAAGCAGAGAAAGAAGTCGAGAAGAAGAGGCGAGAAAGTATTGAGGATTCGAGGATGGAAAGATGGCAAAGTCGAAGAGAACGAGGCTATCGGTCTACTCTATCTATGGACTCGGGTTCATCGCGAATACGAATGAGCTCCTGGTCGATCAGGCTGGAGCACTAATTGAGAAAGTTCGTCGGTATCTAGTACGGTTGCTAGTGTTTCCTCTGGATGAAGATAGCCAACCACCTTTGGTATGTCTGTTCCTCTTCTTCTTGATTAAGGTCTGCTCCTTTAGATGGGTTCTAGAGCTGGAGAACCAGAGAGGGAGAGGACGGACGGGAATTTTTTCGTCGGTCATAACTGCTAGCAATGTCGTTGCAGAAAGTGTCACGATTAACCTCTTGCGCTAGAATGACGTGTCACGCACGTCGAGAATCTTTTATTTCAAAATTGTAATATTTTCTCAGTTTTAAGGGGGTATTCTAGTAATCTGGCTTGAAAAATCGACTTTTTTAGGATTTTTTTTCTAAGGAAACCATGATACATTTTGGTGTTCGCAGCTTTCGCACACAGATTCATACTTAAAGAGTATTTAGAATTTTTTTTTAAACAAAATTAATGAAAGTTGTAGAAATTATATAGCCTTAGGTAAAGCATGTTTTTAAAAACGGGTTCGAATGGCTGACGTGATTCAGGCCCACCTGGTTATTTGAAACTAAAAAACCAGAATGCATCTTAATTAGTATAAATATGGCTATCGCATGAACAACGGAAACAGCGAAATTTCGAAAATTAAAAAAATGGCAATATTTTGAAGTTAAAATATCGATTTTTCTTGTGCTTTTAATCCTTTGGGTGGTTAAAAAAAAAAAAGTAGAAAAAACATCAGATTTTGAAATCTATGCGATAAAGGTACATCCCGTGAAAATCTCCTCTAAATTTCAAGTCAATCTGTCAACTAAAACGTGAGATATCCCGTCAGCCAGTTTGAAAACAATTTATGGATTTGAGAAAAACACATTCGAAGTTTCTGTTACCCGTTGTACAAAAATCACTTACAATCAAGCAGTACAAAAAATAAAATATTATAAAAATAAATAATAATATAAATAAATTTATATAATTTATATAAATAATAATATAAATAAATTTATATAATTTATATAAATAATAATATCTAAATAAATAATTTATATAAATAATATAAAAATAAATAATAATATAAATAATACTATAAAAAATAAAATATTTTTTGAGAAAAACACATTTGAAGTTTTTGTTACCCGTTGTACAAAAATATTCATACTTAGAATCAATCGAGCAGTACAAAAAATAAAATATTATAAAATAATAATAATACGAAAATAAATAATAATATTGTAAAATAAAATATTTTTTGAAAAAAACACATTTGAAGTTTTTGTTACCCGTTGTACAAAAATATTCATACTTACAATTAATCGAGCAGTATATAAAATAAAACATAAAATAATAATAATACAAAAATATATAAATAATACAAACAAATAATAATATAAATAATATTATAAAATAAAGCATTTTTTGAGAAAAACACATTTGAAGTTTTTGTTACTCGTTGTACAAAAATATTCATACTTACGTTGCGAGCAGTACACCGTTTCCTTTAAACATCTATAACTTTGCTAATTTTACGAATTCAAATAAATCCTTTTACACAGACATTTTCGAAAGCATATACTTTGAGAAAATCTAAAAGAAAAAATTGATTTTTTTAAGCCAGATTGCCAGAATATCCCCTTAAGTATATATTTAAGTAAAACAAAATAGGCAAAACAAATAATAAATTTATTACTTCTCAATAATTTCTATGCAGTGATATCACACCGACGAGTTCAAAAAGAAAGCGACGAATTATTGTATACGGTTTGGTCGCTCGTTATGGTCCGCAATCAGTTGCCAGCGCAAGTGGTTACGTTATTAACCCAGAAAAAGAGAAAAGCCGATGAAATCTCGATTCTCTGGATATTGAAATCAATCGGCAGAAGTTTCACTTACCGATTGGATGTAGGAAGTAGCGCGACGACACTAGCAACAGCAGGATAATTCGAAACTCGTCCATCATAGTTTCGATTCAGGTGTACATCGTGCGTTCATCGACGAGTTCGTCTACAACAGGAAAATATGCATACATACATACATACATATATATATATATATATAAATCGTTTCGTGCGATTTACGTTTGTTTCGTTATTGCTTGCAGCAATTATTAGACAAAATCCTTTTTCAATTTTTCCAATTAATCAGCCGACAGTTCAGTTCGATCAACGTGAAAACAGCCTTTCTTCGACTTACCGAATGAGGCGAAGTTTATTCTGTTTATAGAGTACTTGTCTCGACGGTAGCATAACAATGGAACAGTGATCTTTTCTAGTGAAGTTTCTAATTAATCCGCGATACGCTTATCCCGCATCGCCAAAGCCTTATCGCGAGCGAAAGCACCTGTACGCTGTTAATGCCGATCGATGGCTACGATTCGCATACATCTACCGTACACGCATTCATCCGTTCGAGCCTATAGCGAGGCAAAAGCTCGTTGGTTCGGAAAATGTGTCCGGGATTTCGCGGCGATGTATCGAGTATCTCGAATAATCCAGGTAAAGGACGTAGTATCGGCTACTCGTCTACGTGTACATACAGGTTTGACCAAGCCTCGGTACGGCCCACGAAACAAACACGTCGCGGATCTAGTCGACCGATCATTCTCCCTCCCTCTCTTCTCCTCTCCTCACTCCTTTCGCCTCTCTCTTCTCTCGTGCTGTTAATCGAACGCCAATGCGTCTTCGTTTCCTCCATCGTTCGTTCATCGATCCTTTTTCTTTGTTTGCTCTTCGATCAAGGGCGGCAACTGTAATTCCGAATACTAATACGAATCGATTTCAAGGTGTCTCATGTGTAATTCATCCGGAGAAGTAGCAAACGCGTCGTAAGGATAATTGCAGGTTAACGAATCCATTATCGCGCTCGTTGCGAAATCGATAACGGAACAAACGCGGAATAAAACTGACAATGAGAATCGCTTTACACGTTTTCATGCGAGATCTGATTAATTCGTATAGACTCGCGCCCATATGAATATTTATTTCCACGGAGATACATTAACGCGGTGCAATGTTGTTTTTGTGTTTCCTCCTCTCCTTCCACCCCATCCAGTAAGCGTAATTAAAATGTTTCACAACAGTCTATCGATGCCAATACAGATGATACGTTCGGAATGGTTGTTTTTCCCTCGAACGATTAAGAGTTCATTACCGGATATTCGAATTGGCTGGCTGTTTTCGATGAATGGCTAGGGATGAATTTTCTGCGTGTCGTTCCGAGGCGATGGACGACGTGTACGGATTAGTCGTTTTCAGTTTCACGCGATCGAAACACGGCCTGTAACAACGCGAGTCCAGTTGGTTTAGCAAGTTCGCGTACGAGCTCGTAATTTCGCCACTTAATTAGACGGTGCTTTAACTTGCAGCTACGTTGGATATAGTTGCATGCTCTACGCGACGAAAGCAACCGGTTGGTGTTTGCGGGTATAAATAGAGAGAAGAGAAGGGTCGGAGACTGGCTCTGCTTTATCTCGACGCTTTCATTTAAATAAGCTTCTCCTAAGTTGGAAATAAGTTTTAAGGATGGCTGGCGTATATTAACGTCTTCTTTAACGATTCGTATAGACTTTCAAAATTATGAAGTTCCGGGCAGCAAGTTTCTTTCGCCATATACATATACAGCGAGCAACGAAAGTATTCGAACGGCATAATAAAAAACAATTGATTATACAAAAATTGTATAATAAATTGCAATTTATTGAAACAAAAGGTTTTTTCACTATTGTATATACATTTGTTAAATGTATGCAAAGTTAGAGAAAAATTAAACCATAAGTAAACAAATTACATAACATTTTTCACGGATGAGTACATACAAGGCNATAACAAAAGTATTCGAACGCAATTTTAATAGTCATGATAAAATGCAATACATGTGATTATATTGCATTTTAATATCTAGTTGGGCCACCCTTGGCTTTAATAAACTCTCGAAGACGATTTTCTATACTATTGACTAACTTTTTGGTGACACTTGAATCCATAGAGTGCCACGCTGCTAGGATATTTTGTTTTAAAGAATCTTTACTCGTTATATTATTTCTTTTAAGTCTCCTATCGAGTTCTTCCCATAAATGTTCGATGGGATTTAAGTCAGGGCTCTGTGGTGGGCTGGGTAATGTATGGGGTACATTATCTAAGATCCATTCTTGTACTTTGGCCGTATGTTTAGGGTCTCGGTCCTGTTGGAAGCAAAAATTTCTTGACACATTTAATTGTTCGGCACTATTGATTAAATTTTTTTTTAGAATATTTAAATATTTAGTTTTGTCCATGATTCCATCGATGAATACGAGATTTCCAGGCCATTAGTGGACATGCAGCTCCATTACGGAGCCTTCACTATGTTTCACTGTAGTTTTTTGAATCCAACTCCTTATTTGGCTTCCTCCGTACTATTCTCTTACCATCAGACCCAAATAAATTGAATTTACTTTTATCGGAAAAAATAACAGTGTTCCAAAAATTTATGTCCTTATTTATTATTTACTCTGTGGCAAATTTTAAACGAAGTAATTTATTCTTCTTGCTAATGTATGGTTTCTCTCGTGGGACTCTATCATGGAAATTGTTTTTCCATAACATTCTTCGACATAATTGGGCGTGTACTTCTTTATTAAAATTTGTAACAACCATTGTTGCCAATTTTGGAGCAGATGTAAACGGATCTTTCTTTATTTCACGCAGAAGAAATTTTTTTTCTCGTGGTGTTAATTCTTTTGGACGCCCAGATCTTTGTTCACTTGCAATATTTCCGTTCGTGTTATACTTTTTTTATCATATAATGAATTGTTGATTTGCTTCTGCTTACAAGAGAAGCAATTTCTTTATATGATTTACCTTCTTTGTGCAATTTAACAATAATTTCTCGTTCGGGTTTACTTGTCTCTGATGTTTTACCACTCATTATTTTGAATTACAGATTAATGTTTAACTTTCGGTTTCATTTGCTCTCAAATATTGTTGGAAATACACTGAAGATCTTTTCTTTACATTTAGACCTCGCGACAGTCTTGTGTTTACAATGTATAGTGTTTATAATTCAGCGTTCGAATACTTTTGTTATGCCCTATATGTACTTACCCGTGAAAAATGTTATGTAATTTGTTTATTTATTGTTTAATTTTTCTCTCGCTTTGAATATATTTACCAAATGTATATACAATAGTATAAAAACAATTTGTTTCAATAAATTGCTATTTATTATACAATTTTTGTGTAATCAATTATTTTCTATCATGCCGTTCGAATATTTTCGTTGCTCACTGTATCGCCGGGTTTTCGATTATTCATAGTTATTCATTATTTACTAGCGACAGGATACCCTCTTCGATTTACCTTGTATTTATGTTTCACGTAATGTCTGTTCGGTTTGAAAAGTTTCCGCGACGGGAGGACACGAAATGCGTGATTTCTTTGAAATGGCAGCGCTGCACGGGAGAGAGTTGCGCGGCGGGCTCGAGAGAAGCAAGAGGAACGAGAAACGGGCAAATTAGTGTCAGCGTAGAAAGCAGAAGCTCGAAAACCTCGAGAGGAGAAAATATAAATGTAGGCACTTCCATCCTGGGTCACGTAGTTTTCTTTCTTGCATTTGTCGCTCTTTTCCTCGCTGGCATAAAGACGAAAAAAAAAAAAAAAGAAGGCGCTGGAAGGAGCACGTGGCTTTTTTGGCGAAACGTGCCGTTGCGTCTTCAAGGAGAACTCGAATTAAAGTGGCTATAAAGATCGCCAGAGAGCAAATATGCGGGAACAATTGACATTCTTTGCCAAATATATTGAATTAATATCGTCGTTTTATAGTTTGTTATTACTGAAAACAGTAACAAGCAGTTAAAATAATGTCTAGAATAAACCAGTCTGAATAACCGTCGTTTAACTGCAACTACAGTAGCAACAGAGCGTACTGATGATCGATATTTTAATAATTTATTTCCGTCCGATGAACAGAAAATGACGACAAATTGCGGTCCGTAACTTTGCACAAACCAGATAGACACTGCGACTCGGTCGGTTGCAGACGATGTATCGTCGATGAAATATTTAACCCGTTTCCCGTGGAATTTTCCCAATTTTTCTCGTGGAATCGTGATTTACCATCGAATGAGTCAAATTATTGTCGATCGTAACTCCAATCGGCAATGCGCTTTCGCCACGGTCGATACTATTGTTGCGAGATTCTATATCCCACGTACATCTGATATCGTTTCGTTCTATTTCATTTTTTATCTCGTTGTCACACGATATAATACACAGAGGGATTTCTCGTTTTTCAACTTCTGTCCGCTGGTGCATCGAGTGTATCTGGATTTCTCACGTCAAAGGCTAAAACCGTTTAATTTCAAGTAACACACAGCTGGTTGGAAATGATAAGATTTCGTTCGCCTTGCCGTGACGCATTGAATTCCTCGTTTTTCAGAGCTCTTTTGAAACTATATTTGAAATTGAAAAGGATGAAACGGGAAGGTGTTAATGCGTTAGAGGAACAAGGCGAGAGCGCAAAGAGAGAAAATTGGCTTTCGTTGGGTGGCAGTTGCACAGAGGGAAGCCCCTTTGCCTGAAAACGTTCGCAGGTGGTGAAGAAACCGCACATAGGGATACCTGAATTATGTATACAACGTCGTAAGCCGACCGTCTTGACGGTATAACGAGCTGTCGATGTCAAGGGAACGAACGGACGGTAACCCTTGCCATGTAGAATTTATTGACACGTCATAACGAAAGAGGCAGCTTGTTCGCGTTACGCGCTCCCTCTCTATACTTCCGATTCATGATTCAGAGCTCTTCATTTAACCGGTCGGAACCCTTCGTATGTCAACGAGTTGTTACGGAGGGTTTTGCTATGATTTCTCTGCCGCATAAACCTCGCTAATACCAAGATGCAAACTTGCAAACCATGTACGGTAAATCCGATTAACATTCGGACGTTTAAATATTCGGACATTAAATACTGAAGCTATTAGAATTTTATAAAAAGAAGTCGTGCATGTAATCAACTTGGGCTTATTT